GGGGCTGCGGCGGCGGGGAGGGGTGGGGGGGTGCTGCTCCCGCGTGGCCGGCCCGGGGGGGCCTGTTGCGCCCCGGAGGCTGCCGCCCGGCTCGGCTCAGGCGGGGAGGCGGCGAGGGCTGCTCCGGGGCTCGGCGGGGAAGCGCCGCCGCCCGGGGCTTTTATAGGGCTGGGAGCGAGCGGCGGGGTTACAGGAGCCGGCGCCGCCCCGCCGGGGGGCCGGGGACCCCCCCGCCCCAGCGCCCGGCCCCACGGCCCCCCGCTGCCGCCGGCACCCCCCGCTGCTGCCCTCTTTCCTTCCCTCCCTCCCCGCCACGCTCCTCCATCCCCGCATCCCTCCCTCCATCCTCCCAGCCATCCACCCCACCATCACACCCAGCCGTCCGTCGGTCCGTCCGTCCATCCCTCCGTCCCTTCCACTCCCCCCTCCACCCCCCGCGGCAGCCCCCCAAGCTCCGGCTCACCTCCCCGCGGGGCGCGGTGCGCAGCGAGGCTCGGGGGGCTCTGTGTCAGTGCGGAGGGAGCCCCGGACACCCCAGCTCCGCTTCGCGCCGGAGGGGAAATGCAGCCCAGAGCTGCCTGCGGATCTGGAGCCAGCTCTTGGCAGAGGCTCGAGCAGATCCCATCCCTCCCTGGCTCACAATCCCTCGCTCACCGAGAGGTCAGCAGAGACCGACCCTAGGTGCGGATCGGCGGTTGACGGGGAGCCCGGCAGCACCAGTCAGCCCCGGCCCTTCCCTCCCACGACCCCCTCCCCGAGCATCCCTCTGCCCTGCAGCGGCTCCCGCATGAAATTCGTCCCTTCCCCGGAGCTGTGCCCATGGGTGCTGGGACTGGGCTCAGCGCAGGACGCAGGGCATCACCCACCCCAGCCCCTGGCCCTTCCCCTCAGCCCCCTCGCTGGGGGCTCTTCCACCCCCGGGGGATGGTGAAGCTCAGCTCCTCCTGGGACTGGGGAGGACGTGAAGAGGGACAAGCCTGTCACCAAGGCAAAGACCCCAGGGACTCGGTCCTGTCAGCGCTGTTTACTCCAGCACGGGCACTGCTGGTGTTGGGGGGGAGGGGGGCGGAGGGGGTTGCAGGTGTGTGATTTGGGGTTATAAGTGGGATCAGAGCCCAACACAGGTTTGTTACTGGGGGGTGGGGGGGGAGGGAGGACAGAGGGAGGGGGACACAACTTAGCAATGGGTCAGCACCTGGGTAAGGAAGTCCTCAGTGCAGAGTGAGGGGACAGCGAGTGGGGAATGCTGCCCCACTCCCGCACCAATCTGCACCTTCCTGGGCTCTGCAGAGGGTCCCCACGGGGTCCTGAGCCTCCCACCCCCACCCCTTGCGTGGGTTTGTCCCCTCTGTGACATGATCACCCCCCTGCCAGGGGTGCTGGGGCAGACACTCCACCCAAAAGGCATCAGAGACATCAGAGACATCAGAGCCGCGCTTAAAATCTTACCACCAAGAAAGCCCTGCTCCAACTGTAGCTGCAACTCGACAGCTTCCAGGGCCGAATCCTGAGCGGGTGGAGGCTGGCACGGCTCCACACCCAAACCACCGGGGGCTGCACCAGCAGGGGAGCACGGAGCCCAAGGGAAAGCCGTGCTGGAAAAATCGAGCCTTGCATCACTGGCCAGGCATCACAGCTCAGCTCCTCATCATCAGTAATGTGAGTTTGGCCAGGAGGAAGGAATGCTGCGACCTGATGCTAATATTTTATACAGCGACTTTCATCCCAACAGACCGCCGTGCACCCAAGCACAGCCGCTCCTGGGGCGGGAGGGGGTGGCCAGGCAGACAAATGGGTTGTATCTGGGGAAGGAAAGGATCTTTTAGCCAGCAACACCCGCCCAAAGCTGTCTGCTCTCTAAATATGCCTTCAGATTTTTAATGTCCATGGAAAAAAAAAAAAAAAAAAAAAAAAAGGAAGAGAGAGAAAAAATAGCAAGAGCTTGATGAATAAGGGTCTTTTTGGAGAGAGAGGGAGTCACTTCTGCAGGGACCTCCTTCGTCCCCACTGCAAGGCTGACAGACAACCTCCGGGTAAGGGATGGATCAGTAGGATCTGGAAGATTTCATGGAAGATCAGCTGCAACCTGAAAAGCCAGAGCCCTTGGTCCCGAGGATGAGGTATGGGGTTCCCAGGTTCCCCCCACTGGTCTCTGCACTGTCATAGGGCCCACAGCCCAGTGAAAGGGGCACATCCCCAGCTTGGCACACAGAGAGTGGCATGACAGCCCGTGGAGTGCTTGGAGGGCTGCATGACCTGAAGGAGGGGACAGGGAGATGCTGGGAACATGTGGCATCTCTGCCCATGGAGGGACAGAGGAGGCAGGGGAACTGCATCTGAGTTTAGGGAGACAATCCAGCTTTGGGGTAGAGATGGACAAACCAACCACACCACGTACTTCAAGACTAGGATCTATTACTAGAAAAACATGTTGGCAGCAGCCTACTTGCCCCAAGGTCTCTGCCCTCTTCCCTTCATGCTTTTGGTGGGGCAGGCCAGCTTCTGGGCAGGAGGCGGCGGCACCCACTGCGCCCCAGGGTGGGAGCCCACACAGCCTTTCAAGATGCTCTCTCAGAAGCGGGTTTTCGCAGAGAACCTATTGCAGGCTGTGAGCCAGGCACGTCTCTGCCGTGCTCCTTTGTTGGGGTGAATTTTTCAGCTAAACTTGCTCCTCGCCGGCCGGGCACGGACAGCGGGGCTGCGCTCCCTCGGGAGAGCAGGTTGCACACCCCGAGTTTGCCTCCCCGTCCCCACGCCACCTCTGCCGCGGAGGGGACACGGCTCGTTTCCAGCCCCAGTCCCTCCCCCCGGTCCCCGCGCCGCTGTGACACAAGTGCCACCTGGCGGGGCTGCCGCGCAGGGAAAGCGGGCGGCGGAGGGCGGCTGGGGCCGGCGGCGAATCTGGCTCCATCCGTGGCGTCGCTGATGCAATTTTGCTCCGCCAAAGCAATTTCGGGGCTGGAGGAGGCTGGGGCTGGAGCGGGAGCAGCAGAGGTGCTCCAGTCGCCTTTGTCTGCCGTTTGGATGGCTGCGAGCAGCTCCTGGCCGCGTGCCGTGCCTTGGTTTCCCTGTCTGCAAGAGCTGGGATCACAGCTGTGGATTTCTTCCAGCACCGCTCAGACCCACGGTGAGACTCTGCTCCTTCACACGGGCACCCCTGCACTGTGTCTGTACCCACCCCATGTCCACACTCCAGTCCAGGGATGTTTTGAAGTGAGACACCCAGAAATCACCCCCTGATCCAGTGGTACCATCCTCTGCCTCCTGCCAGGCTCTGTGCCTCACTGTCACAGGGAGTCTGTAATAGTGGTTTTTTAAATCACACATGTGGCTTAAATTTGCCTTGTTTCTCCAGGGCTTTTTTCCAGCCCCATGTGGGCCAGAATCACCCTTTGCCGTTTGTTTCAGGCAGGTTTTGCGTGGAGCCCCTGCACCAGAAGCTGGATGTTTCTGCCCCCATATCCCCCCGCAACCCACTTTCAGCCCTGGGACTCCTCAGAGTGAACACAGCTGAAGCCTGCCCTGCTCTCACCCTCCCGGCCTGGGGCTTTTCCATGGCAGCAGCTCACTCAGCCCATGCAGTAACTGCAATCCCAAAGATGCATCATCTTTGCTGCTTTTTTTTTTTTTTTTTTTTTTTTTTTTTTTCCTGGGTTTGCTTTTGCAGATAGCTGCAATATTTCCCTGCCTGAGAGAGAAGGGGATAAATCAAAATGACTCCCTTTCTACACTGTGGGGTGGCCTGGGGACAAGGCCCTCGTGCCAGCCAGCCACTGCTCACCCACAGTCCAGCAGTGGGAATGTGTCACCTCCCTGTGTCCCAGGTCTGAGCCTCTTCCAAGTTCGTAATCAGGCAGCACACACTGCAGAGTGAGCACAGGTTCAGGCTGAGGCCTGACAGCTCAGCACAGCAGTGAGCAGCCACAAGTGGGTACCGCAGGGCCTCAGACATCACCCTGAGCTGGATTTGATGGGCTCTGCACCCCTACTCCTTCATCCCTCTCTGCTCTGCCTCACTGGGGATGTCTCTGAGGCTGGGGAGGAGCTGGGAGCATTTCCATCCCTGATCCCACAGATGGGGCTGTGCTGGGCCCAGAGCTGTCCTCTGTGTCCCATTGTACTGGCCATTGCCCTGCAGGATGTGCTGCCCCAGAGCCTTGTCCTGGAGGGACCTGTGTGCCTCCTCCTGCCTCCGCCGTGGGCAGTGCTGCTCCTCCAGCCCCCAGTGCAGGTCCTCGCCCCAGTGCTGCACCAACATCTCCAGACAATGCAGCGCTGGAGATGCTCAGAAAACCTGACCTGCTCCTATGCAGCTGCCACCACGGAGGGGATGCTCACAGTTCACAGCAGCAAAGTACCCCAATGGCATCCCCACTGCTGGCACATCTCAGCTGGTCCCAACTCGCCTCTATTCTTTTACCTCCCTCCTTGCTCCCTGGTATCAGACCTGGGGAAGCCAAAGAAGCTACAAAAGATGCAAGAGAAGGGAAGCGAAGGGAAGCTTTTCCCACCAAGCCTGTTACTAAGCTGATACCCAGCAGCTGAAGTTATTTGGGTTTGCTGGAAAGCTCCAGTCCTTCTCCAAGGTGGCTCTCCAGACTCCCAGCACCCGCAGTGCTCTGAATGAGACATCAGCAGTGTTAGCAGGGCATTGGAAGGGGAACATATGTCTTACCAGTGTATGTGCCCCGTAATGCTGGTGTGTACTGGTTGAGCTGGTCCAGTATGGAAGATCACCTCTGTGATGCTCCTGGAGAGCCTGTGGGCAGCCATGCCCGCAGCGGGCTCCTTGCAGGGGCTGATGGAGGCACAGGAAGGGGATCAAAGAGGAGAAGGGGAGACAGAAGGACGATATGGGTGGCTGGACAGGACAGGGAAGGACAGAGACATCTATGTCCATGGGTGCTGGCAGCCTTGGAGCCCGTTGCTTTAGCTCTTTGCAACCTCAAACCTCAGAGAGACCCCAAAGCCCACCCCAAGAAAGGAAACAGGCAAAGAGACTTGGTAAGAAGAAACTTTTAATCAGACTCCATTACAGCTCTTACAGGGTTTCTCTCGACTGCCAATGAGTCCGGCCAGCACGGCACGTATGTTAAATACACTGGCTACGAGGATACATGGGACGAGTTTCTACCAGATCTGTGCTTTTACCTGTACAGAAGGGCTTTGCCAGCCTTGTGCTTACCCACAGGGGAAGTGGCCACAACCCGTGTGCTGCCATGCCTCTGCCCAGGCTGGGCCGTGTCCCCTGGGGCTGGCAGTGCCACCAAGGCCACCCAGCCCTGCCACCTGTGCCCCATTCCTGCTGGTGAGACCCAGGCTCAGGGGAGGACAGGGGCAGGAGTGTGGCAGTGGGAGCAGCTCCCAGGAGGAGCTGGGCTTTAATGTGAGCTGCCAGGGTCTGTGTAGGGGCAGGAGGGTAAGCCTCTCTCCTCAGTCGGGACTTCAACCCATCCTGATTCAGCCAGCATCTCCTGTCGAGGACACCATCCCCTTCCAAGCAGCAGGATCCAGGCTGGGAACCAGGCAGGGAGCAAGAGGAGGGGGCAGGAATATCGGCAGCGGTTCCCCCCTCCTGCTCTGACTGCCTGGATGAAAACTGAAAAGTGTCTGTGCTCACAACTAGCAGCTATTCCCTGTGCCTCTGAGGGGGAAAAAGAAAATAAAAGTGGTTGCCAGGGCTAAAAGTCACCAGGTTTGTCCTGATCCACAGCCCTGGGACCCCAAGAAGGTGCGTGGAGGAGAGAGCCTGTACTGGCAGGTGGGAGAAGGCCCCACCGCAGGCTTCAAAAGTGGCCAAGAACAGCAAGAAGTGACCCCAAACAAAACACATACGCACACACGTACACGCGCACACCCCCACACACAGCATCTATGGACGAACATGCGCACGCTCACACGGCCACGACACGGATCACCTACAACTTACCCCCCCACAGACCCCTGTGCCTAACACCAAGCAAATACCACACAGAAATACAGTACTTCCACAGATAAAAAGAAAGGCTTCCTCCCCCCTCCTCCTCTCTGTGGGGTCCCCATGCTAGGGGACCCCTTGAGGCTGGGGAGGGGCATGGGGGGAGGGATGGCCACCCACCACGCACAAGAAATGAAAAGGTAAAAATATGTCTGATATACAGTGAGAACTGATCTGTACAGCACTGGGAATGAAAATAGGTCATGGGCCACTTTGGAATACATTTTGTCATTTAACATCATTTACAGTGACATTTACAGAATAAATATACAATAGAAATAGAGAATCTCTAGGTTATTATTCCATCTCCTCTCTCTGTATACATTTTATATATATATATATAATATAGCTTTTTGTTACCTTCTTATTGACTTTGCCTCTTATTGGCGCTGCAAGAAGAGGGGAGGAAAGCAAATGCCTTCCTGGCTGGTTTGGGAACAGTGATGGGAGAGATTGAGGGACGGATCCTTCCCCCCAGGGTTTGAGGAGCGCTGTGCCATGGGAACAGATGGAACCACATGTGTGGGCTGCGGGAGGTGTCCTGCCCCAGTAACTCCATGGGAGCTGCAGTGGGAATCCCCTGGGCTCAGGGGTGTGAGTCTGACTTGCATCGGAAGGTGACATTTTGCAATGATTTGGTTCATCCTTTGTTCTGCTGGTCAGGAGGAGGAAATCAGGGACAGAGGGAGAAATAAGAGATGGGAGGGAACATCTCGCCTGGTGTTGGGGAGAAATGCATAGGTTTTGTGCTTCTCCTATTCAGAGGTGGTGCAGTGGGGATATTTCTGTGTTCCTCTTTAGGGACAGGAGGAGAGAAAGACCAAAGTCACAGCGGAGAGGATGGTGAAGAGATTGGACAAGAGATGAGAGCATGGCTGATCCTGGGGATGGTGCTTCTCAGAGCTATCAGCAAAGACTGAGCTGCATTGGTTCAATCCATGCCTCCATTCCCACCTGGAGAAATGGCTAACAAAGGTCCTGTGCTAATCTCCCAGACGGAGCCCCCAAGTCACCAGCTGAGCTCATGACAAAAAGGAGAAGGACTATAAACAAAGGATTATAACCCACAGGAGAAATGTCACTGTGGGGGACGTTGTACACCCTAGGGTGCCAGGAGGAGTCAAGGATGTGGCAAATGGGCCAGATACTGTCTGCCTTTGACTCTCAGCCAAAAGGAGAATCAAGGTGGAAGAAAATCTATTGATAGGAAAGTGGAGGAGAGAAGGGCTCATGGACAAGCAACCATGAACTTGGCCTTCAAACTAGCTTGAAATACTACCACACATCATCTAAGCCTAGCAGAACTGAAGCTAAGGAGCTCCCTCAGCTTTTGAGACTGTAGCAATGTGCTGAGAGGGAGAGAGGGCATCGAGCAGGCTGCTTCTCCCCTGCACCCACCAGGAAAGGAGGAAAAGGCCACATAATACTGGTGCCCTTGACAGAAATGCTTGGCTATATATATGATTCAGGGAAAAAAACATTAGTCCCAGTGGGAAAAACTCTGAGCTGGGAGGCCCCAAACTTTCCTAGACAGCTTGGGGAGAAAAAACGTAGCATCACCTTCATCTGGTCCCCATAACATGGATGGGCATGATAGAGGCTCCTGGGCTCTAACAGGAGCTCACCAGCCTGGATCAAGAGCTAGCAGGGACATTGGGACCCGGCACCAACTTCTGGTCATCGCAGCTCAGAAAACATGTCCTCCATCTGCTGTCCCAAAAAGCTGGTTACCCCCTTCCACAGGCTGGAGAGCCCCTGCACAGGTGCAGCAGCAAGGCAATGCAGGCACCAGCTCGATGCTCTCAGAGGTGAAGACATGTCCAGAGATAATCACTGCCCAGCTCACCTCAGATGGTGGGTGCAAGGGAGGTAAGATAGGGGGGTGGTTTCCTGAGAGCTACACCAGGACTGTGGTAGGACTGGATGCCCCACAGCTCTGCTTGTCCCACTGGGACATCTAAAGTAAGTGGCAACAGGAGACGATCCCACGCCAGGGATTTTGGCTCAGCAGAGCATCCCACATGTCAGGAGTCATTCCAGGAGAATGCTCCTGACACCTATCACTGTAACCCTGGTTCAGACCTCACACATGCTCACACATCCAAAATCACTCACTTCAGAGGTCCTGCTGCCTCTCAGCACAATAACTGCCCAACCACAGAGCATGCTGTCCACGTTGTCTCATGGACATGATATCTCCATGTCTCAGAACAACCCGCAGACACCATCACCATGCTGGTAGTAACAAAGCAGACACCAAGGATCCACCAGCTGCAGTCCCACACACCACAATGACTCAGCCAGCCCCACACTGCTCCCTGCCAACCCTGGTCAAAATGTTGGGGTTATCTGGGTGTGTCCACAGCTATAAAAACTACAGGAGATACAACAACGATGGCAACAACAACAGCACCCTTTTGTGCTATGAACATCGATGGTTAATTGTGCTCGTTGGAATAAGGCCGTGGCTCCTCCCGGCTGAAGAACAACGGACAGGGAGGGCAGAGCACTGGGCTGCAGGAGGAAGCGTGCTTGGCTTTCCACCTGACACCAGGTCCTTTTTCCAACCATCAACTGTTTAGAAAGAGGGGTTCTTTGCTTCGGATTTGGGCTGCAAGAGAAGGACCCTCAGAGAGGTCCTGCATCACCACTTTTTCCTCCTCCCTTCCCTGAAGGCAAGCCCTGGAGGTCCCGCCATTCAGCCCAGGGTTGTCAGAGGAGTCCTGCCCCTCCCGCAATCCATTCTTCCTGATGTCATCTTGGAAATGGCTGCTTTGGGTTACGATTTTAAGAGGGTTTTCTTCTTTGTCTTGTCTTTATTAATTTTCCCATTGCCTGGAAAGCCAGGATCCACTCCCCAGTGACCTCCTCTCCCGATGGGGGTGGTTGGCAGGCAACAGTCACAGTTCAGATTCAGGGGTGCTGGCCATTAAGTACCCACTCCCGTATCGTCCGTTGGGGGCACTGCTCATTTCCATGGGGGAGTTGCTCCCTGGACCCAGGTAGGAACGGTGTGTGGGCATGGGGGATGGGGTCTCACTGGGCACTTTGCTCAGGATGAAGCGGGTCTCATCGTTGTCTTCCAAGTTGGAGATGTCCTTCATCATCCGGCCCTTCTTGTAGGTGACCGAAAGTGTGTTGGAGCCATCCGACACTAGGTGGAACTGCCGGAGGATGAAGACCAGAGGCAGAGGGAGGGATGCCAGGATAATTAGAGAGATAAGAATAGCCATGGCCCAGGTTGGGTAAAAAAGGAACTTCTCTGCAGCCTGAAAGAGAGAGAGAGGTCTGTGTCAAGGGATTGTTACAGCAAAGGTGATGCACATCAGGTACAATATATCCTATGTGCTAGGCAGTCCCTGCTGCCTCCTGCCAGACTTTATCTTGAGGGGCATTACATGAAACTAGCAGAAAGAAAGTTAAAAACAGGAAAAAGCGCATGGTCCTGCACACAGAGGGTAGCTGTGGAACCGAGCCAAAACCCAAAGGTCAAACTTCAGCCCGTGGTCAGAACTCAAGACTTGCAGTCTCAGACAGGACATCCAGCAGCAGGAGGAGAGACGAGCAGAGGAGGGAAGAGCAGGGTGGTCTGCAGCCCTCAGCTCCTCCCTGCTCAGCCCAGGCCCGGGTGGGGGCAGCAGCAGGGGCTGGGGCTGTGCTCACCTCCTCTCTGATCCAGGCGCTGTAGCCCGGGGGGCTGACTCCCAGCTGGATGATGCTGGCAGTCATGAGAACGGCCATGCAGATGGGAGAGACGTACTTCCAGGTGTAGTAGTAGAACTGATAGGGCCGGAAACCCAACATTTCTGTCAGTTCCTGCATGAACCTGCCAAGGGAAAGAGATGGAACCACATTGTTCCCACTTTCAAAAGAGAAACTTCCTCCCAGAAGACCCTGTTGTGGGTTATGCTCAAGGTAGAGCCTGAAGAGCCCAGCTGATCCAGGCGTCTCAGTGTCCTTCAAACCTGTAGCACTGGTTGGGAACCTCTCAAGGAAAAGGCTTCCTGACATAAGTCTGAGCCTCCCTCGCTCCAGCCAGCACTGGGGCAGACAAGGTGCCCTTGGGAGTGACCCGGAGCCTCAGACAAAAGCATACTAACAAGTAAGAGAGCACCATAACCAAAGTTAGATACCCGCTAGAAGGATGTGTTCTTGGGGCTGTGTTACACCTAGGGACAGGCAGAGGACTGATCCTAGACATCAGTGAACAGACATCAGACATCCCTCCTCTATAAGGTAATTGCTCTCGGGGTATTTGTTCAATCAGAGCTTGCCTCCTGGGAAAAAAAGTCCCACAGGAAAGAGCTAGAAGGTAGGTTTGGTGTTTTTTTTAGTTTGTTTGTTTTTTGTTTGTTTTTTTTGTTTGTTTTGTTTTGTTTTTAGCCAGGAGTTATAGCACAGATATTCTTTTCCCTGTGCAAAAGCCTTACTTCTTGGTGCCATATATCCAAGCCACAGCGATGTTCTCCAGGATCACTACAACCGTGAGCGGCAGCGTGGCTGAGTAATCATCAAACATGGTGACAAAGTAATTCCCAGAGCGCTGCACGAAGATCAGGCCAATCACAAAGGCGAAGATGCAGCAGCCGACTGCAGGGAGCAAACAGGCACGGTCAGCAGAGCACTCAAGGGGGAAGCAAGGCCTTCCCTTGTGGAAGCAGGTGGTCCATTCCCCCTGTTAACAGGACCTGGTACACCTCCACCATATCCACGCTCTTCTGGAATGACCCCCAGAGCACTGGGGAACCTCCACCCCTTCCCCAGGAGGATGCAGAAGACCTCACCTGTGAACACTTCCTTCCGCACCTTGAAGGTGTCGATGATGGGCGTAGTGATGCCTGACATGGTCCCAATCATGCTGCCCAGCCCCAAGTTTATCAGCATCAAGAAGAACATGACGGACCAAAATGGTGAGGCCGGAAAGTGGGTCATGGCTTCCGTGAAGGCGATGAAGGCCAGCCCAGTTCCTTGCACTGACTGTTTGGGGGAGAGAGGCCAAAAGGAGAGAAGCAGCATGTCAGAGACAAAGCCTGCATGCCCCTGCAGGCCCCAGGTCTCTCTTGTCCCACTGAACGACTCCTGAAGGAAACAAAAATCCACTCCTGCACCCCAGCCTGGAAGTGATGATGTGGCTGTCAGACTCACTATGGGCAGACCATTTCTGCACCCCAGGAGAGATCCCTGTGCACTGGGAAGACCACAGGGAAAGGGAATTCCCATCCCTATGGAGGGTCTATAAAAACAGTTTCTCCAGATCCAAGTGCCAGGAGCTACCCAAATAAAGTAGCTCCTACCTGGGACTGGCAATGGACATGGTGATCTGCTTCTCCTGTTAGGAGTGCCACCGGGTACCTTGTCGAGTTCGTCCTCCAGCAGGCAGGCATCCAAGCCCAGTTCTTTGAAGTGCCCCTCTTTCACTGTCATGATCACCCTGTACATCTCATTGTAGTCCTTGGCTGTGAGGTGGGAGAAGTTCACGTGGGGAGGGATGAGGTCGTGGCTTAGCACATTGGTATTCAGGTAGCCCAAGATCTTCTCAGCGTTCCTAAGGGAGAGCAAAGCCCAGTCACCTGGAGATGTTCCCTTCCTCCTGGGAAGGGGGACAGCGCCTGACCATGTGAGTCCTTTGCATCAGGCAGGATAAACCTGCCTGGGCCACATTGCCCAGGTCCCAGCCGTGACATGCTGTCCAGCCTCTTAGCAATTTGCACAAGCAGATATTGCATTAGGCCACATGACAGAGGATGCAACCGGGACCCTACCAGGGGACAGGCTCTCTGCAGCCTCTGCTTAGCCACATGTTGTTGTGGCTTCTCTTCTGCTTTGTCACAGTCAGGATTTTTATGGATGCAGCTCACTGTCCGACAATAACACGAGGTGCACAAGTTCACCTTCCTCCAGCTGTTTTTGGGGTACAGCACAGTAGCTCTTTAGTCGCAGACATAGAGACCCAACCACGAGTAGAAACTCAGGGAAACCCAGGTGATGCGATCAGTCACGGGCTCACCAATAATGTGCAGACTAACAGCCTGCCTCATGGCTGAACTTTAGGCTGGAGGAGCTAAATGCCCAACTCCCTTATGGAGCTAGAAGAATGGAGCTCTCAGCTACAATAGGACATCTCTGGAGATCCAGGCCTTGACCTGGGTCAAAGTTGGGTCCACCAAAACACAACATTACCCAATTCTAGATCACTTACTCCATTGCCTCAGACCCACCCCAACTGGCAGGAGCACAGACTTCCCCACCCCAGAGAGACAGAAAGCAAATCCACCTACTCCACCACACATTTCTCGTTCATGATGTTGGCCTTGAAGCCCAGCACGGCAAACACAACCAGGGTGGCCAGGACAGAAGTGAAGAAGTTGATGAAGGAGACGAGCGTGGCATCGAAGTGGCAGTTGTTGTCCTGCTTGTTGTAGCTGGAGAAGGCGATGACCCCACCAAAGCCCAGGCCCAAGGCAAAGAAAACCTGCGTGGCTGCCTCCCGCCACACCTGGGGGTCCAGCATTTTGTCCAGCTTGGTGGGGACACAGAAGAAGAAAATAGGTGGTTTGGTGGTGCCATAACTCATCCTCATGGAGCCAGAGCTAAACTAAAAGACTGCTGTGCCTGCAACCAGGGCTGGCTCTGGAGCAGCCATGGGCTGGCGTTGTGCTGCCACAATCAGGTTCTGCATTACACACTTGTGGAGGTCCTTTTTCTCTTTCCTGCACAGGAGGACACTGAGACATGGAGAAGGGCAAGCAAAGATTTGGACCACAGACCACCTGGCATCCCAGTTCCCCCACCAAGGGAGCCACATGCATGGCAACGGGGCTGCATCCTGCCCCTGCCATTGCCCACCTCCATTGCCTGGAGTGTTTGGAACCCAGTGGCTGGGCTGGGGGTTTGGTAGCTGCCCATCCCCTGGACATCATCCCCCTTGCCCTGATGCAGGCTGGAGGCCTCCAAGCACTGTTCATCAAGAGATCACAATTAATATCTTGTAGCAGCCTCCCTGGCTCAGCTGATTCATCTACATCTCTGCTTAATTAATTAATTAGCTGGTTAATTGCATAACATTGGTGGATATTTTGCTGCCAGACAGTATCGTCTCATAGAGTACTTAAATACATCACCTAAGGGACTCCTCTTGCCCACCCTGTTTCTGGACACCTGAAGGCAACAGGAGCAATGCCAAGGCTCAAAGCAGCACTAGGATGGCAGTCTGCGAGTCCTGGCTGCATTCAGGGTGTTGCTAAAAACTCCTGGCTGATTTACTGGGACCTGTGAGGTCAGCTGGGATTGATGCTCTATTTTTTGAGGTGTGGATCATAGAGGAAAAGTGGGGTTCTGTGAAATAATGTGTGTGTGAAGGGCTGAGCACCGGGTAAAGGAGCCCTCTGCAGGCAGCTGTTACCCAGCCTCAGATGTGAGGGCAGAACACTCGCTTGCACCAGAGCACATGGGCACAGTGAGGGTGTGCTGTGGGGTACAGGGAAGTGACTGCAGCCTCTGCGGCAGCTAAACCTCCCCCCTCCAAACCAAGCTGGTGTGATCAGCCTGGAGGAGAACCTGGGCATGGGGTTCTTACCTTGGGTGTGAACATGTGCATGATCCCATCCACCGCCCCGCGCAGCAGAAGTCCCCGCACCAGGAAGCAAACCAGCACCACGTAGGGGAAGAGTGAGCTGAAATACATCACCTGGGGCAAGAGGGATGCAGCATGGGCACAACCTCATTTACTGCCCCCCGGGCTCAGCTCCCTCCCCGTCCATCAACAGTACAGCACAAAAGGGGTGAAAAGGGGGGACATGGCCCAAGGCAGGACATTACAAATGCTGAAGCCTGGGTAGACCTGCAAAGTGCTTGGACACACTTAGGAGAGAGAAGGAAAATTTGCTGAGGCTGCAAAGGTGTCAGCACTGGCTCAGAAAATCCCTGGAACACAACTGCCAGTGTCTGGCAAGCCCTAGGGAAGGCCAGCTCTGCCTTCCCACCCCACTCTCTTCCCCAGCATCAGCCCAGGGCTGCAGGCAGAGCAGATGTGGTTGGGGCTTCACCCTCAGCAGGGGGGATGTGCTGCCCCAGCCCCACTCCTGTGCCATATTCCCATCCCACAGCTCTCAGTGCTGCAGGCAGCAGTCTCCTTGCCCTGTGCTACCTGCTAATGTGCCAGATGTTTTGCAGAGCACATCTGGAGATGAGGATGTTTGAGGGTCCTGGGGGAACCATACCCTTCTGCACCTGGCCCCACTGCTTTCACTGCCTTCCTTCATACATCAACAACTCCAGCAAGGTCTCAGCATCCCTCTCCCAAATATTCCTGCTCCTCCCAGCCCTGCTTCTGGTGTGCAGTCCCAGTGCTTCCCCCATGGAGGAAGGCTCTGCTCCTGCACCTAAGTCCTATGGGTGAAGCTGCCTTTGGGATCTGCAGGTGAAGGAGCTGCTGCCTCATTCAGATCTTCCACACCTCTTTCAGTTACAAGGCTCATGCTGCTCAGAGCATCCATTTGGATGGTCTGGACATCTGACAGCCCCCAAACACAGGGACTGGGACAGGTGCTTTGGCTGACTTGTGGTGGCATTGCTGCAGGTGTGCTGGATGAAACCCCTTCCCTGTGACCCTCTCTGATCTCATTCTGGGCCCCCAGAAGATGTCCCCAGCTCTGGAGCAAGTGTGATCATCCCAAAGAACACAGACACCCCAGAGCAGGGCAGGAGAGTGTGGACCTGGAGGTTTCTGCCTTCATGTCATAGGAGAAGCCTGGTCTGGAGGATGGACTGCAGATACCCACCTTCCCCGAGGACTGGATGCCTTTGATCATGGCCAAGCCAACAAGACTCCAGGCCACCAGCAGGCACAGGGTCATCTTCCAGTTGAGTCCCCCACTCTCTGAGATGGAGTTGGAGATGTCCAGGGCCTCCCGGTACCAGAAGTAGGTGGTGGCAGAGCTCCTCTCACATTCAGCCTCCACAACTGCAAATGAACAGAGGTACCAGAGAGTGAGGAGCTGGGGGAGAGTCATCCATTGTCTTTTAGGGGATGAACATAAATTAATGTCAAAGACCTGCAGGAGCTGGTTAGGGAAGGTAGGCATCCCTGGGAACTGAGGGACAGGATAACAGCGCTGATTTTTAGCAGGAAAAAGGGAACAGGACATAAAGCCATTGTCATGTCAAAAACAAGATGTTAAATACCGTTGAAGACATTTGCATTTACTATAAAATTTCCCAGATTGTCCCAAGGAGATGCTCAGATACTGCTGAGCACCACTAGTTTCACCAGAGTCTCAGTCAGGCACTGACAAAGCAGCCAGACAAGCCCAGCTCAGTTTCCTGCACAGCCCAGGTCAGATCCTCGTCCCAGGCACCAAGGCAGCCTAGAGACCCAAACTCTGGGTCCTTGAACAGGCATCAAACCCCAGCCATGGGGAAAGAATCTGTCTGAGAGCATGGCCAGGACTTGTCTGACCTGAGGAAACATCTCCATGGGGATAAGGCACCTGGACTGCAGAGGACCCAGTGGCACCTTCTCCCATCCAATCCACATCCCCAGGAGACTCCCCAGCCTCCAGTGTCCCCAGCCTCCAATAGATGCAGACATCGGGGGTCTCCAGTGTCCTGCAGCCCCCCCTCCCCAGGAACTGTTCCCTCCCAGCTGCATCTCCCCCATCCTCACCAGCCACTGAGCCATTCCTGGCGATGGGGCACTCGCTCCAGGGAAGAGGGTACTGGAAGGACTTGAAGAAGTAAAAGATGCTCCAGCCGATGATGACATTGTAATAGAGACCGACAAAAAAACAGACCTGGGGGGAAGAAGGAGGACACGGTGTGAAGTCGCAAGGCAGTGACACAGTCTCTACCCCACAGTGTACCCAAACCAGCCCCGGACCCACGGATGGAGCTGGAAAAGCTGCCATCCACCCCTCAAATGCCCACACTGGGCTCCTCCAGCCCACCCTCCACTTTGCAGATTGCTAAGCGTCCCACACACCTTGAGGTGGGGGCTGGAAGGGGCCCATGGGTGCACTTACCAGGCAGCTGGCATAGCCAATGCCCCCGAGGCGGGGACAGATGTAATTCCAGACACCGATGCTGCCCCGGCGGATGCGCTGCCCCACCGCCAGCTCCAGGAAGAACAAGGGGAGCCCGATGATGATGAGTAGGACCAGGTACGGGACCAGGTAGGCACCTGGCAGGGGGGAGAAAGCTCATCATGGACCCGTCTCTGCCTGCTCCCATGCAGCCAAGCACAGACAGACAGGGAGGGACGGGCAGAGCTCAGATAGGCTCTGTCTGGTCCATTCATTTGTAACAAACACACATGCACAGAAGGGAAGCGTGCAACATCCCCGACAACGTGGGTACATGCAGGATACACCCCTACAGCACACCACACCCGTGCAGACCTCAGGACACACCAGGAAACCAACGGGTCCTGCCTGCACACACACCTGAGCACAACTGAACCCCCTGCACTACAACAGCCCCGCAGCAACACTGGCCACGCCACCTGCCACCCTGCACAGCGAGGTCCTCTGGTAGGGGTAGAAATAGCTCAAAATAGCAAGGCAGTTAATCTCTGCCTAATTGAGGAGACCAGAGAGAAATTAGCAGTTCATGAAGCATAACCAAATGGCCGTAAAGGATGCGATGACTCACGCTGCAGCGCCTGGCTGATGAATTACTCCAGCCTGCTGCCGGGGGCTGCGGGATGGGGCTTGGAGCACGTGGCCACAAAGCACATGCTGGAGCCCAGGCACTGTGGGCAAGCTCCCGGCTGGATTTACTCCCTGGTGACAGGCATCAGCCCTGGGCCAGGGCAGGACCTGGTGCTGATGCTCCACCAAGCAGCAGCGCTGCAAAGCAGCTCAACCCACGATACTGCCACGAGGCTGCAGCGTGCTCTGTTCGCAGGACGAGTGCCCTCACAGCGGGTTAGGGATGGATGTTAGAAACACAGGGGGGAGGTAAATCAAGATGCAGCCACCCAGGGTGATTAGGAGGGTGAAAGCAAAGGCAGAGTGCAGCGTGGAGCTGGACCCTGGGAAGAAGCACGAGCTTCCCATCTTTGCAATACCCTCCTGTGCATCTGCACCTCAACCCATCAGCAGACAGAGCAAGAAAGAGATGGACAAGTTTGGAGGCAAATTTCTCCAACATCAGAGATTTTCCTGCTGTGACCCCTGGGAAGATGGGCACCATGCCCATGCATCATCACCAGCCTGCAGTGGCTCCCAGCACACCAAGTCCTGAGAATTTGGCTCCAACCCATCTTGCTGCCAGCACACAGCCACTCTCCCCCACAGACAACTGTAAGGGGAGTGGGACAGAAAACAGCCACTGCCACCACCTCAGCAGCCCAGAAGTGGTCTGTCCGTCACTGCCCAGCTCCCGCATCTGTCTGCCTGGCACCAGGCTCCCTACCCAGTAGGACTGTCACCTGGGGGCCAAGAGGGTTAAATGTAGTGGGGAGAAAAGGCAGAAAAGCAGCATCCACACCAGGGGACAGGCAAGATGGTGCCACTTGTCCAAAAAGCTGAGGGGACTAATGTGGGGTTCAGGAGAGTTCAGCATTCTGCTGCTCAAGCCAGTTCCTAGCTCTGTGCCTCAGTTTCCCCATCATAAAATATGGAGGCAGCCTGTAAAGCCTGTCTGGAGACCTGCTGCAGGAAGGCATTATACAGTAGTACAGATCTCCCAAAAGCTGCTGCTTGCCCTGGTATCTGCATGGCTTTGTGCCCCTATGTCCCAGAGTAGCATGTGGCCAAGCTGTCAGGTTCAAACCCAGCACACCCATCTCCACCACAGCAGGTCTCACAGCTGTCAGAGGTACAATTCCCCATCCTGACATCACATCTCATGTGGCCTTTTGACTAAAAAGCAGCTGCTTAATGCTCCCCAAACACCGTCAGCAAATTCAGCCCTGGCTCTGCGAGGTGATTCTGATCAGGAATCACCCCAGCCTGGGAGCCCCTCCCATTTGCCAGCACTTGAGGTGGACAAGGCTAAAACCCCAGTACGCCAGAGACCCTCAGAGTAAGCTGAGAGAATTTCATTCCTTGCACTAATTACAGGTAATTACTGGCTGTTGTGGCAATGTGGAAACTGAAGCATGGAGGGGTTAAGAGAAGCCTAGTTTATAACCACCTGCCCCAAGCTGGGTCCTGATCCCATTTAATCAAGAAAACCAGGAAATAACAGATGTGAGAGCTCTCTACCCAAGGCAGCAGTGCTCCATCAATCTATCCCAGCCCTGCATTCACCCCAGGCTCAGCCTCCAACCTCCTTGGGCCATGCACAAACCCATCCTGCTGCAAGAGATGCACGTGTGCCAGCACGTGCAATGCAGCCGGTGCATGCATTCAAGCCTCAAGCCCTGCACACCTGCAGATGAGTGCTGCAACCTGAGACAACGTGCAAAACCCTCCCCCCCACCCCCCAAGCTTCGCAATACCACAGCTGCATTACGCAAAGCCACACTGCACCAAAACCCAGACATGCACCTTCTGCATGGAAACAAAGCAGGGCACTGGGAGCTGTGAGTGTCCCCTCGCCACAGGGACCAGGTGCTGGGGACATGCAGAGGGGCAGGGGCTGGCCACAGCCACAGTGCCCCAGCCAGGACAGGTTGGCGAGGGGTGTGGGCAGCCCTGACAGCATGGGTCAACCTGGGAGGCTGACTCCTCACAAAGATGACACCAGAGATGTTTTAATTATTGAGGGCACTGCAGGCTTGTTGAGGCTGGGGGCACATTGAGCGATGCAGTGCCAGGAATATGGTGAGCATGAGGCAAAAGCAAAGCAGAAAGCTGGGCTGATCATGGCCCCGTTAAATGCTGCTCTGCAGGGGATGCTTCCCATCACTGCAAAGGTCGGTGATGCAGTGGAGAGGCCTCAGGGTGGGATCTGGATTATGGACAAGCAACCCACCCTCCCATCAGTGACACGAGGGTCTCAACACAGCTGGAGGAGACCGGTCTGCTCCTGAGCTGGCTGGAAGTTGAATTTGGGGAGGGACAGGAGCCTACACAATGCATATTTTGGACAGGGAAACAGAGGGATGCTCTCTTTTTTTTTTCTCACTAGCTTCCAAATTGCCCCAGCAGGAATCAGGGATGTAGTAAGAAATCCTGGCTCCTGACCTGGGACTTGTCTTGTCCTCGAGGCAGGAGGGTGAGCATCCTTTCAGAAGAGGCTACCCTGGGGGTTCCTGCATCACTGCACCAATACACGCTGCAGTGAGCAGCACCCACACCAGGCTCTTCCAGCTGCCCCTTTCCTCCTTCAGAGCCAAAACAAACCACATTGCTCCCTCCTTGCCCAGCAATCCGCACCCTGATGGAGGCAGGACCATGCCAAAACCCACACAGGACCTGAGCCCATCCCTGCCTCATCTCTCACCTCCTCCATTCTTCTGGCACAGGTAGGGGAAGCGCCAGACGTTGCCTAGCCCCACGGAGTAGCCAATCTGTGCCAGAATGTACTGCAGCTTGCTGTTCCACGCCGGCCGGTTCTCCGCATCCAGCTCCTCCTCCCCATCCTTCTGCTTGTCCCAAGCCTCCCCCGTCACATTGAGCACACTGCGTTTGTAGTCCACAGGCTCCTCATGAGCCAGCAGGTCGGCCACTGACTCAGTGACATGCTCGTTGCTGTGCTCCCGCTGCGTCACCTTGCTGTTCTTCGGCATTGGGATGGCTCCGTGTGGCCCTGGGGGGCAGGATGGGGCAAGAGGAGAAGACAAATGTCCCACAGGGCACACAGCTGTGCAAGCTACAGCTCAGGGCTCACCTCCTCTTCATCAGCAGGACCTGCACAGGGAAGAGGTCAACAGAGAAGGAGGTGATTTTGCCCCAAGGCACAGCAGGGTCTCCATCACCCCCATTTAGCTGGGGTTAGCATCCCTGGCTGGGGGGTGCTAACAGGGAGCACTCCCCTGGTTCTTCATTCACAGAGAAGAGCTTCCTAGAACCTCTGGAGGGACCTTCCCCAGGTGCAGGGTGATGGTGGCAGGTGACAGAGACACCTTTTATCCTCTCACAACCCCACTCCTCATTCCCAAAACTCCTGCATCAGCCCCTGTGGGTGCTGGACTGGGACAGGCACAGGTGTGTTTATTTTTGGACCCACAGAGGGGAGCGTGGGGTGAGTGTGGGGTTGCTGCCAGTGCCGGGACAAGTAGGAGGTGAGGAGGGGTGCATTGGCAAACACAGCCCACGTATTTGCACCAGGGATAACTGGCTGCATGAGTAACCCCGACACCAGGCATTTCAGAGAGTGCCCATGGCTCAGCTTAGCCCCACAGCGTTCATCCCCCTTGAAAAGCTGTGAGGCATCAGGGAGGTCTATGCTGTTCCCCAACCCAGAAAAACACCAAGTACTGCCCTTCTTAACCATACTGGAAGAACTGGGGCCAGACTGGGTGTTTCTGCCCCAGCTGAGACCATGGAGCTTCACCAGCTGGAGAGAAGATGGAGAAAACCCACAAGAAATCTCAAGTCTTGATACGATTCTTCCAAAGGGTCATGCTTGCTCTTTTTCTCTCTTGACCATCTCAACTTTCTAGGGACCTCAGGATGGTCACCAGTCCCTGGAAAAGCAATAGTGTTGTGCCCAGGGACCCATCCTGCCCCAAGCTGGCCATGGGGTCATTTCACCCTCACCGGTGGCTTTCTCATGTAGCTGAAGGCTGGTGCAGCACCCATGTGGCATCCTGAAGGTGACACTGCACGCACAATCCATCCCTGGGGTCAGCACAGGCAGCTGATCTCCACTGGGATGGGCAATATGGGACAGACCTCATGCTCTCCATCCCGGCGAGCAGGAAGAAGACCCCCCCGTGTTTTCCCTCAGCTGTCCCCATCTCTTCTTCCCTTTGCAGAAACACCCAACTTTTTGATTCAGCTCCAAGCAAATCTCACAATCCTGAACCCTTTCAGAGCAGGGGTTCAGGCCAGGCAGCAAAACTGATCCCCAGCCAGCAGTCCTGGTGCCAAAGGGGAGCGAAACATCAGCCACAGCAGGAAACCTCACCCTCACCTTGCTGCTTTCTCACCCTGAAGAAAGTTCCCCATCTGCCAGGCCCCGTTCCTATTACAAAAGCTATTTTCAGCTGAAAGCTGCATCCGTTGCCAGGCAACAGCATCGGCTCCACCGCCTTGGCTGGATCAGCTCCTCCGGAGAAGCCGATTGAATTATTCTTTCCAGCCTGGTCCAGCGATGTTTAATTTCCTAACAAGAACCATTCACGTAAACTGTTCACAGCTCGGCAGCAGCAATTACCGCACGCGGCTGCCCGTGACAGAGCATCCTCAGCCCCTGGCCAGGGGCTGGCAGCTGCTGGTACCAGGAACAGAGGGCAGAGAAGGTCTCATCCAGCAGCCAGGAAATCACCGGGATTTCCATTGATTTTGGATCAGATTCTGTGCAGATGAATGTGGACCTTGAATTTAGGCACCCAGTTGAACTGCCTATGGGTAGTTTGCTGCTCCCTGTCTGCTCAGCTCCTTCCAAGGGTGACTCAGCCCTGAGTAGGACTTAGCCTTGGGGGCTAAAGTCTCTTCTTTCATTAGGGACTGAAAACCTACGATCTGATGGCCAAGTCCCAAAGCTCAGCACCCCGTGGCTCTCCTGAGACAACTCAACCCCCTAGAGCAAAGCCTGGGAGATGCCCAGCTCCACGAATAGAGCGTGAAGCCAGGCCAGCATGATGGGGACAGGGCAAACCCCCAGCACCTCTCTGGGTCTCTGCCTCTCCCCTCCTCGCTTCGGGTCAGCGTTATCCTCAGGAGTCATGGGGCACCAGGACACGGTGCTCCTGGAAAAGGAGGCTTCAAGCACCTCCAAAGCCACAAAGGCTCTCAGTTCCTTGAAAGAGCAACATTCCCAAAGGATTTGGGGACCAAAATGGGTGCTGAGCTTTTCTCCTGGGTCTAGGGTAAGAACCAGCCACCTCGCATGGCACCAGGACCCAATCCAGGGGACAACAGGGCCCTTTCTATTAATTTTCTTAGGATTTTACATCAGCCCCAAGACCTGCACCCCTCAGATTGGAAAGTGCAGTTCAAATCCATCTGAAAAAAGGTATTTCTGCGCATTTATTTAATTGAATGAGGAATTTAATAATAAAAAAAATCTTTTCCCAAAATAATAACTATGATGCAAGAAAGATGAAGCAGATCAGCTGACAACCAGGAGCTTTCTGAGCTTAAGAAAGATAGAAACCCCTCACCACTGGCAGATGGAAATTCAGCTTGTTTACAAAGCCTCTATGACCTTAATTTTCTTAAATGTGTGTTTTTCCTTCTTTAGATGGAAGACTGGGGCCTTCCAGAGCCCCCAGCTGCAAGAGCCCCCCTGCGCTGCAGGACCAGGTGCCTCTCTCAGACACAACCCGCGCTGATGTCCCCATTGTGGGTGCACAGAGAGGGGCCGGGCAAGGCACCAGTTTGTTCTGGGGTCAGCACTAGTGCCTGAAAAATGACTTGGGAGCAGTTGCCAACATCCCAGGGGGAGCCACAAGGGGAGAGCATCACTGGGTTGTCTCTGGGATTAACTACCTCCTGCACCTCCCACCCTTTAGCATCCGCAGGACCCTCCTTGAAGATGATTCTCACTTTTACACACTTCATCCACCGTGTCCCTTTGCTCTAGCAACCCAGGAGCATCAGGCTGAGGGCACACGGCCATAGGTGGCTGTGGAATGAGCAGTTTTCACCCCATGCAGGGAAAGGGCATGGAAGGAGAGGCTCCTGTTCTGCTACACCCAGGGGTCTGACACCATCAGGAAGCTCCCTTTGTTCCCAGATGGAGATGGAAGCCCCCACTGTGGGAATGCCACTGGTTGGGAGCTCAGTGCTGTGCATCCCCCAGTGCTGCTGGCAGCTCCCCACATTCCTGCATGCTCCCAGGGAAGGGAGCTCTGAGTCGTGTGTCCTGCCTCGGCCCATCCTTGCTTTCTCAGGGAGGTGGCTGGGAATCATGTCAGTGGATCTTTCAGTTAGGCCAGGGAATGCAGATGCAGGCAGGGAGGAAAAGTGGATTTACAGCAGCCTCCACGTAGAGCAGGCACCAGCAGCTGCTGTGCTCTGGGTCTGGAGGGTGGGCACCAGGGAAGGTTTCTCCTCTTACAGAGACAGATCAGCTCCTGTGTCCAAATTCTGCAATTATGCCCCATTTGGGTCCATAAAGAGGAAAGTGAAGGAGGGAGCGGGGGGAGGGGGAGAGACAGGGGAAGAAGAAGAAAACAGACTTGGATTTGGTGAATTCAAAATAACATTTAAACCATGGGGACTCTGCTGGTCCTTCCCTACCCCACCACCTTTGCTCCTTCTGCTGCTCCCAGGCAAGACCCCAGCAGCTCCTAAAGGAGAGGAGATGATGCTCCCAGCCTCTGGAGATCCAGACCCAGGAAGGTCCAGCTTGCTCCAGCAAGATCAGAGCTAGGAAAAGGGAGAGCAAAGGGTCCAGGGCACAGAGGAATTGCAGGAGGTGGAATGCCGTTCTCTTGTTCAGGCTGTGAGATCTGAGCATCTGTTTGCAGCTCCCCATCCTCACAGACATGCACAGGGACAGGGAAACCTTGCACCAAGGGCTGGGCTTTTTTATGCAGATGGAGAGGCTGAAGCAGGGAAGGGATGGATCCAAGGTCACCCAGGGATCCAGCGAGCCCAGGAAGGAGATGTGGAAGGACAGAGCAGACACCTCTCCCATCTTCCCTCTGTACCCTGCAAAGCCAAGCAGCAAAGGGAAGGAACTCGAGGTGCATGTCCCAGCTTTGAGGTCAAACCACAAGAAAAGTAGCTCCAGGACCCCGCCTGCCCCGTGCCACTGCCCAGGACTGGGAGCGCAGCCCAGCTGGGAGCAGGATCACCTCTGCAAACTGCTTCTCTTGTGAGGCATTGCAGTGCGGGCCTGTGGAGCCCCTTGGCTGCAAGAAACCAGGGGCAGGACCCTCCAGGCAACATCTAAACTCCACTGCAAAGCCCCAGGAAGAGACTTTTGCCCCATAGGGAGACACCTCAGCTCTGACCTCCCCAGCCCTTCTCCAGGGGCCCTTCTGCAGTCTCCTTCAAGCAAACCTCCTGCCATGAGTAGAGGCCAGGAAGAACTGCCTCCATCTTAAAGCTATCCAGAGCCGAGGCTTGCTTACAAACCAGGAAATTCAGAGCTCCAGCTCGGATCTTCCTCTCCCCTGCTCATCCTCACTGGCTCCACAGGGAAGGTTTTTGCCATCTGGGCTCATTAGGGCTGCTCCCTCTCTCCTCTTCCTTAAACAATCCCTGCTAATTAGCGCCAGGCTCTTGCCACCCCACAGAGACAACACACGGTGACTCAGTCACACCCAGCCACACTGCTCACAGTCCCACATCGCGGGGTCCCACGGTGCTCACCCCTCGCACCCACATGTGAGGAGGTGCAAAATTCAGACAGGGACCATGTGAGCACACACAACAGCACAGGGTAGCCGAGCACCACACACATGCGAGGAGATTTGCAGGAAAGCAGGCTTCCAGCCCCAGCAGACGTTCGTAAGCAGCTCAGTGGCACACACCACCAACTTCCCTGCCGGAGGAGCGGGATACTCTGCGCCATCCTTCCTGTGCAAACGTTCAGACCCACTTTAGCACCATGACACAGGATCGATTCACATTCGCTGATGAATCAGAGCTGCCTCCGCTTCTGTCTTAC